CCTTAAAATTTGTTTGGAACAAGTAAATTTTATTTTGAAACGTAATTGTAGGAACTTATAAATAATAATAATAAAAAGAAAGTACATTATTGGTCTTCAATCTATTGCACTAGTAATGAAAGTGAAAGGCCTCCAACAATAATAAAAGGACCCTAAATAATCGTACAAATTGTTGAGTCGCTCCGCACATGCGCTTGTGCGTGCGCGCGCACGTCCCATTTTTTATAATCTTTATTTTTGTAGACATTCACTTTTACGTAACAAATTTTTTTTTTTTTTTTGCCTGATCTTTATCTCGTCTCTATCTTTCGATTTGTTTTTTTTTCTTACTGCACACTTCTTTTTTACGGATTACAAATTCCTTATCTTATCGCTATTTCAAACGGCAAAGGCCTCCAACAATAATAAAAGGCCCTAAATAATCGTACAAATTGTTGAGTCGCTCTGCACATGCTTGCTCTCACACACACACACCCCATTGTTGATAATCTTTTGCTCCACATGGGTTGTCCTATAAAAAGTCAACTAATAAATTAATCACGTAATTCACTACAATAATTTGAAGTTTGAGAAATTGCACCACCCTTTTTCAGTCTATTTCCGCATTTGGAATCAATATTCGGAAAACTTTGTAGCTAGAGCCTCCAATTTTTAAGCCCTACTAAGGCATCTCCTTACTTCACCTTCTACAAGAGATATTTTCATCCAAGATCTTCTTCGTTATGTGACATTCTAGACACTATATTGGTGCCTTTCAATTAACTTAGCAGTGTACTGTACATATTTATGATGTAGGTTATGTGGTGACCATTTTTCAGAATCATTAAATGTCATCTGAACCTAAGATTGTATAAGTGACACTTAGGCCATGTTTGATATAACAAATTTTCCATGGAACTAGGAAAACATTTTCCATTTTTTAACATGTTTGATAGATTTAATTTTCCAGTCAAAATATTTTCCACTTTAACCCTCGCGCGCCTTATTTTCCTCCAAATGAAAGAAAACCTTTTCCCCTCCTTCACCAAGGAATTCACTTTCCACCAAAGATGGAATTCACGAATCCCATCCTTGCAGCCGTGATTTCCCCCGAGAGGAGGTCGTCGTGGTGTCGGCTGTGGTTCCCATCACGGTTTCCCTCACCGGCAATGATTTCCCCAGAAACGCACTTGCGGTCAGACCGTAATGTTTGTCGATTCCAATGGCAAAGGAGGGCGCCAACCGTCATGGTGTCGCCCAGTGATATCTCGGCTGCCATGGTCGTCGAAGCTGAGAAAAAGGCGCCGACCGCCGCTGAAGCTAAAAAAAATCCCTTTCTCTCTGATCAATCTCTCTCTAATTTCTTACTAATTGTTGTAATTAATTTGTTTATTGCAAATAATATACTGAATTTCCTTTTCAATTTATGTGTTATTGTTGTTGGAATTGTTGGTTTTGGGTTGAGATTCAAACTCAACCATTACGGTTGGAGGAGACGGGCTTGCATTTGATGGAGAAATTGTTGGAGTAGGAGGAGGCGTTGATGATGGAGAAATTGTTGGAGTTGGATTAGTCAGTGGTGAAGTAGGAGAAATTGTCGAAATTTTTTTGTTAATTTTCCATGTCGATCAAACATCAAAGATGGAAAATCTCAATATTTTTTAGGTGAAAAATTATATCAATCAAACGCAATTAATTGACATTTCCCGAGAAAATAATTTCTAGGCAATTATTTCCCCTGGAATTCGTTTTCTTTTCCACCCAATTTTCATCTTGCAATCAAACGGACCCTTAGGAGAAAAGGCCATGATAGTCAAAACGAGGCCACATGTCTTTCTTCCAACAATAATCAACTCACCATTTCTACATATATAAAAACTCGCATTTAGTACTATTTGAAGTTAATCCAATTTTACACTCAATGGTATTATTGCTTAATCTTTTGGTTTTTCTCCATAATGAGGCTCATTTCTTGTATTCATCCCACACCCAAATATACAAGTTGATTGATTTGACATTCGAAGTGCTTGCGATAACCTCACCAACCAATGAAGAATGCTATGTACTTCTAACGATTTGCCCAACCGTGAAGGAGCCTTACGCATGGGAGTGAGTGGAGCCTAAACTGTTGGCCACATCACCGATCAGAAACTGAGGTCAACATTTTATTTTATTTTTATAGATATATAGTTGTTTTGATAGAAATTTAGGTATATGCATACTCTTATACAAATATAGATATTTAGATACTTTAGTCTCAGTACATGTATAGAGTTAACTCGTATTTAATATTGATGGTTTGTGTTTATACCTATTTACAAGCATTCGAAATTACACTCCATCTTTCTCGATTTCATGTTTTTAGGTTTTGCGATAATGAAGAATTTGGTGTAATTTTATTAAATGCGTGAGAAATTATGAGTGGAGTTTGAAAATTTTATTATTATTTTAGTTAAAACGTGTAATTAGTATTAAGAGTAAACAAGGAGGTATATATCAACTCTTTCAAGAAAATGGGGGATGCTGGGACTAATTTTCCCTAAATATTTACCTTAATTAGTCCGAAGAGAAGAATCCACTAAATTGCTTTCTTATCCCAATTTCAATAAACAATAATTTGGTGTAAGGTCCACGGGATTATGGTAGGTCTCCATATCAATTGGATTGGATCTTTGTCCTATTCAAATTTAAAAAGTTACAATTTTTTTTTTTTAGTATATTTTGATAAAAGTTGATAAAATGTTTGATTGAAAAAATTGATAAAAATTGTGAATTCTTCGAATTTTAAATATTTAACCGAGTTTTTACACCTTTATTATTACTCTTCAAATCTGAGTTGAATTTTTTTTTTTTTTTGGTTAAAGGTCATAAAATTAATCTTGTTTTTCTTAGAAAGTAAAAAAACCCCGATATAACAAAGTTCACTAAGCCTTGTTTGGTTTTGGATTAAAATAAAAATTGGCCTTTTATCTACATCTCCCCAACCCAAAGGGGTTTGCTTTGTTTGGGATGAACTCGCAAAGACTCGACCCGGTAGGCAATTAGTCCGTGGAAGAGAGGCTATGGGGCTGTTCGGAGGAAAGAAAGTTGTTTATTAAAATTTCAAGTCAAAGTCAACCATTAATTTTTACCGCACATTTTATGATACCTACAACTTCTCAATCATATATTTCATTAGTTTTTATCAAAATTTATTAAAAATTTAATTTTAATCTACATCAAATAGGGTCTAAGCATATGATTCAAAACAATCCAAAAATTTAAGACCCAAGTTTTGTTTGAATTATTCAGTCTAAAAGATTAAACATCAGGAGTCTAAATTGTCCAAAAATTTAAACTTTTAGAAAGAAAACACATTTATTTTATTCAAATTTATACCTTGCTTGAAAGTGATTAATTTGAAAGTCACATTTCCCTCATGTTCATTTTCAATCAAATATTTTTAAAAAATAATTAAATTAATTTTTACGTTGCTCCGTAAAATTTTTCTACTTTTTAACACAATGAGTGAGGGTGAAATTTGAATTAAAGATTTGGGTATCCTCTTATACCATGAACAACTCCAATTGTGATATAAAATAGATGAAAACTGTGATTTAAATCTATAAAGTGATCGAGAACCTCTCTAATGGAGAAATACAAAGGAAACACAAATCACATTTTCTGATTGAAAATGTAAAAAATGTATATATACATCTATTTTATGTTTTTCTACAAGAGATATAAATTGGATTTAGTTCTTTCTATTGAAGTAAAATTTGAATTTAGATTTACTGAGATGTAAATGAGAATATAAAAATAATTTTGGAGATACCGATTTACACCAAATTTTACATCACGGTTGGAAATGTTCTACCCATGTCATTTAAGAACTCAATTAGAGATTATTATATTGATTTATTTAAGTTATGTGTTCAATAATTCAATAATTATGTGATTCAATAAAATAATTAGATATTTCAAAATGTTTTCCATATAGTTTCCCGTAGAAATAATAATATAAAAAAAAAACAATTTTCTTAGGGTGTGTTTAATGAATATTATTGAGGAATGACTGCATTTCAAATAGTCATATGTGAGAAATATGTGGTTAAAAAGTAAGGAACAGTTATGATTGTGGTGAAAAATATTATTCTATTGAAAAATGTGTGGTTGAAAATGTATTTTGAAATAATGTGTACCAAACAGTTGCTTAATTTTTTTCCTCATGGAAACTAAAGAAACAACATAAATTTTTCAAAATTTAATCTTCCAATATATGTTACTTGAAATGAAATATATCGAGTACCTCCTTACTCAAAAAAATTGATAATAAATTTATGAAAGGCCTCACATATAGAGAAATTCAACCACGTAGCAGCCATATGGCATGTTTATTAGGGTAGATTTAATATTAGACAAGCTAACGAGAAGTAAGCGTCTCGTACTAATTCGTTCGTAATTTTTGAATGAAATGCAAATTTCACTAAAAAAATATTGGTGAGCCACTAAATATTCGCAAACTGACTCGTGAGATAGATCGGGGCAAGTCAAGTGGCATCCATTTAACACCTGTGTAATAATGCATAGAAAAATAATGCTAAAAACTTCCTCGACATACTACGTGTTCATTTCAAGTACTATATACTAACGATAAATACGAATTACTATTAAAACAATTAAAGTCGAATAAATATTTCACATAAATTCATAAGTTTGGACAGTTATGTCTTCACTAAGTAAACAAAACAAAAGGTGCAAATGATATTACATTATTTGTATTTTTGTATTTATTTGCAAAATAATAAATAAATTAAATAAACTTGTAGAAAATTAATAAGCTCTGTCACCTCGAACCCACTTGTGCATTTGGAAATTTCACCACCACCTTGCCCCGCCCTTCAGACACCTTCTGCAATCCTGTCCCACTCACAGAAGCTCAGCCCACTGGCCTGATTTTTAGCAATTTATCCTCTCGGTCTCTCTCTCTCTATCTATATCATTCTCTTTCTAAAGAGCTCACTCAATGTGGTGATGGTAACTCAAGATGGCTGCTTTGTAACAATTTCATACCCACCTCCTTCATCTTCATCATCGTCGCCGTCGCCATCGCCATTGCCATCGCCATCGCCATCATGGTCATCATAATCATCTAGCGCTGATTCTTGCCGGTGATCCGCATGTAGAGGAAGTGGCCATTGCTGCTCAGGAACCGCCATATATGGCACCATTGGATTCTCAGGCTTTTGTATATTATACTCAGGATTGATCGATGAAGATTCGTTCTTGGCTTTCTCTTTGTATATTGCATCGAGCTGTTCGAAATATGGGCATGTCTTTGAAGCTTCAGGTCTTTTTTTGTTGCTCTCTTTCACTTTCTTGAAGTACTTATTGATGTTCTCCCATTTCTCTTTGCACCTCTTTGCGCTCCGGTTGTAGCCAATTTTAGCCATCGCGGATGATATCTCCGCCCACATCGGCCCCTTCGGCCCGTTTTCTTGGTACTTGAGATCAAGTTCAGTTCGGAGCTTGATAAGAGCTTCCACTTCAGCTTTAGGCCACCGGGAAGAGATAGAAAGAATGAAGTTTTCACCACCATTATCGGTTTTAGGAGTGTCAATTCTTACTGGCGTTGGTTCTGCTGTTACTGGAACTGGTGGAGGTGCTGGTGGAGCTGGTGATTGTTGTGGTGTCGCCACCGGTGGAGATGGATTGTGGGGCACTTGTATCGTTGGAATTTGCAAGTTTTGTTGCCCAGTAGTTATCTTTTGCAAGAATGCAATAACTGCTGAATCTTTAGCTGCAGCAATTGATCTTTCTTGGACTAAAAGTTCATGCTCCTTGTTCATTTTCGTCATTTCTTGAACTCTCCAAGCTTCCTCTCTAGCGATTCGATCCCTTTCCCATTTTTCGAGCGTTTCTAAGAATTTCTTTTGCATTTCTTCCTGCTTCTCAATTACATCCCTCATTAGTCTCTCGAAATAGTCCATCCATTTCCGCTTCTTCCTGTGCTGCCTCTGAATATCCTCGTCAGACGAAGTCGAGGAAGAGGTCGAAATCGATAGATGGTTAGTGGATATTTTCGGACGAGAAGGTGGAAAAGTATGAGCTTGAGGAGGATTTGTGTTGTTAATTGTTGGGGGCTGCAAAGGTGGCTGTGAATTTTGGAATGAAAAATTCATTGGAGTATTAGTACCTTGTGGGACAGTGCTTTCAGGGCTAACCCGGGCTGCAACTGGTGGATTTATAGTAACGAGGGGCGGTGGCACCACCGCCACCTGAGACGGAGGAGCTAGCAGCGGTGGAGGATTATGTTCAAGAGCTTGTAATTGATCAAAAAACCTATAAGTTTTGCCATCTGATTTTGAAGATCGACCTTCTTTAGTTCTTTTGTGGTACTTGTACACATTCTCGAATTTCTCTTTGCATTTCTTGGGGTTTCTTTGATAACCAAGCTCCGCCATTTTCCTGTTAATAAAATTTCCAAACAAAAACACAATCCTCATGTGTTCTTATGCCATCTTAAGTTCATCCAAACATATTAAAAAAACCCTGAAAATCTACGAAATTAATCGATCAGATAAAAGTCGAGAGATTAATCCAACCAAATCATGGTGCAAGAACTTTTATGTAGATTTGGCTGAATGAATTATATTGAAAATCTGAAGGGAAACTTGAAGATGAAGATAAAACAATCTTCTAACTTCATTGCTATAATTAGCAACAAAGTGCCAAAACAGAAAAGCGAAAACCTGGAATTTTATATTCCTTAAGAACTGCTGAATTTTTGTGAACTGAACTGAAAGACGACGACCCTCAAATTCAATCAGAAAAAAGCAATAATTCAATGGAATTATGATCCAGAATTGCCTTCTATATTCATAATTTAATATTACCTTGACACTTCTTCCCATAATGGACCCTTGAGACTCGAGTCCCTAAAAGCAACGTCCATATCAGATCGAATTTTCAAAAGGGCCAGTGTTTCTTGCCTCGGCCACCGGTTTCCGCCGCCACCACTCCTCTCAACTTCTTCAATTCCCAACTTATCTTCATCCCCAAAACCACCGCTGCCAAGCACAACTTCACCACCACTTTCATTACCCTTAACAGTGGCTGCACCGCCGTCTCTGCCGCTGCCTGAATCTCCAAGCATGATGAAGAGGAGTTCCAGTTCCAGTCTTCTTGACAATTACAGCTGCAAAAGAAAAAAAAATAAAAAAAGAAGATGGTGAATTCTGCAGGTTTTATCAAGATTGGGTGTTGCGAGGGATCTGCCTGTCAATCTCACACCGTAAATTAATAAATTAAAAACAGAATATTTTTCATTTTTTCTATGTCAGCTAAAGAATCTTTACCATTTTTTTTCGTCTCTTTGGTAAGAAAAATTTTAAACAACACTTGAAAGTTCACACCGCAACATGAACAGAGATAAATGTGTGTATGTATAGGTGTATGTATAGAGAGAAGGAAAAAAAAACAGCTAGGACGAGTGTGATAACATGTCTGTCCAGCTAAATATAGTTAAAAGCCGGCCCATGTAGGTCACACTTTTCTTTTTCCGGTATTTATTTTGGATTTCAAATTTCGAATTGACTGAAATACCCCTAACATGTCAATATTCCATTCAACTTTAATCATGGACGTAAATCTAACTCAACATGGTGATGGATCCAGGATAATTTTATTTTGCTTTGTTGACTTGACAAAAATGTCCTTGCTTAATTATAAGTGAATCATTTATAAGTCATTCATAAGTTAACAGCCTCTATCATTTTAGTTTTAGCGTTCGAGTCCGAGTTTGTATTTAAGCTAAAGAATATGCTACTTGTACATAATGCAGTATCCATAACGGTGTCCATCTCATCACATGAAGTGGAACCCACTTCGAATATATTATATTTTATTCGAAGTGGGCCTCATTCCATGTGAGGGGGTGGATACCATTATGGACAACGCATTATGTACGTGTAGCATCACCCTTAAACTAAATGGTAATCGGCGTAAAACGTCTTCATGTTTTCAATTTCGATATTTGGACCCTCAAATCAAATTTTATTTGCACAAAATATCTTTCTCCTCAATTTCCTTCATTAAAGTCTTGTAAAATAACGAATTTACTTTTCTCTTCAAAATAAACAAAAAAAATAAATAAATAAATAAATGCAGTCAAAATTTTAAATGAATCCCACTTTTTAAAAATGTAGCAATCAATTACAGGCAAATGTAATTGTCATTAAATTAACTTGAAATTATGGCTGTCTCATCTTTTATTTATAATTATTTGATTGTTTTCATTAATAAATTAATTAAAGTTAGATTAATATAAGATATGAAGAAGATTTCTGATATCATTTTGGTCAGTGCTTATCATATAATTTTAATTAAAGGACAATTATTTGTTGTGTGCATCAAAGATAAATCTTAGACAGTGGTTTAATGAGTACATACTTTGTTCATTTATAACATAATTATAGGACTAATTAATTAAGATAATTACTTTTTGATTATTTTTCCCCTAATTCTAAATACCTAATTTTTCAAATATTTTTTATGACTTGATTTAACAATATTTTATTTTTTCAGAATCTTTTTCTACTTTTATAAATCTTTACACTAGTAGAGTAATCTTATAATATAATATTACTTCAAATGCAAAAAAAAGTTGGTAGCACGTTGTCGAAAGATTTGACTTTTTGAAAAAAAAAATTTCGTAGCACTCATCTTTGATAATAAATTTTCTTTTCCTCTGTCAGTGATTTTTTCTGTCTCGAGTTTTCACATACATCTTGTATTCTTGTTCTTATTTTAGATATTGTTAATTCTCATTTTTTATAACAAAATTCAAATGAAAAGAGGTGAAAACCCGAAGAGGAGATGTCATGTTCTAGAGTACACTTTGAGTAGATGTCCATGAGCATATAAGAATACTTGCATGTCGCGATCAGGTCGCCCACTTCACCATGGCGGCCTATCTTGTTCTCCTTGATCCTCCATCATTCTGAACCTTCCTCGACCGACTCTTGCAAACTCCTCTAGACCTCCTACAATGTCAAAAACTGATACTTACTAGAAAATCTTCCAACATGGTTTTCACATTTTCTAAAAATCTATTTTAATGTTATTAAATAATGATTTTTTATTTTTTTTTTATGTCGTAGCTAGTATAGAATAATTAATGTTACTCCAACGAATGTTTAATTATGTTATTTTGGCACAAATCGTTTTGGTTCCTTTAAAAAAAAAGTTTGAAAATGTTCAATTAGCCGAAATAAATTTCTAGACTCGTGGATTTATCGACATTCAGCTCATAAAAGAACCAAATTCTTATTGTCTAATATTATTATTATTTTGTTTATAATCTTTTTGGCACAAAATTATTAAGGCGTATTTTTTTAGTAATATGTAACACTTGAATTATTATAATTAATAACGGTTAATTTTTTCGGTATATAATTTAATTTTTACTCGTATGAAATATACCAAAGAATGGACCAACTCTTAAATACTGCAAATTAGTGGACCCGATATCGTGTATGCTATTCAATGCACCAATCAACAATAATTACTCATTAATTTGAATGAAAGCACATCCTTACACTGTTAACGTCGCAAGTAGAAGATAAGAGGGAAATTAATATATATTTATAAAAAAAAATTAACAAACATAGTTTTGTAAAATTAATTTTTTTTAATGCATCCTTATTATATACATTTCATTAATTAGTAAACCTTATCTACAACAATAGTTTTGTCTAGAAAGTCCTAAAGGATGGCATATATGACTTATTCGTCCATCGTATTTCTACAAAAATAATAAATACAGAATTGAAACAAAGTGTTTTTTTTTTCTTTTTCAAAGTACGTAAACAATATACTTTGACAGAAACCATAATCAAGAACGATATAATATTAATAAACAGAAGGATGATGACGAAAATAAAAGTTAGAAACATAAATGTTACAATGAGCAAAGTTGAGGACCTCAAGCATAATTTAAATGTGACGCAAATAAAAAAAAATGTTGTGCGAATATAATTATCCTTTATTGGTGGATCACTATTTTATTTTAGAAAATGTTATAATTCAGGAAAAATGGTAGAGTTAAATTCAACTAGACGGAAAATATACAATTAATTATACTACAAATGTGAGTAAACTTAAATCCCATATAAAAGAGTGGATATTGAAACATTGATAGGATAGACATCAGATGATTGATATTGTCCCATCAAGAGTCAGAGTATGTTTGAGCCTCATTTTCTTGAATCATGATATACGTACAACATTTGTTGACAACAACCCAGGGCCGGCCCTGAGATTATAGAGGCCCAAGACGACGATTTTTTATGAGGCCCTTCAACATGACCATTTTTTCACAAGTATAGCAAAATTTAAATATTTAAAGAAATAACATTTTTATAGTAAAAAGAAGACTTTAAACCAAATAATCATTTTTATTCAACACTTCAAACCAAATAAATTGAAATAATCATTCCAAGTAAGAATTCAAAATTCTCAATTTCATATGTTGCCAAACACTCCGCCTCACTTTTTGTCTTAAGATCATCAACATTTGCCAATTGAAGTAAAGTTTTTTTTATCTGTGGAGTTTGAAATCTTATCGCTCTAACACTTTCAATATGGCTTTCCCAACGAGTTTGTGACAAAGGCTTAAGGGTAAGGTCATCTAGATTGGCACATCCAGATTCAAATTGTTCAACCTTTTGTTTCCTTTTTCTTTTGGCACATCCAGATTCAAATTTTCTAGTAGACATAGGTATAAGCAAAGAACAATAGAACCTGATTGACGTGTCGAAAAATTCTCAAACTTCTCCAATTCTCCAAAAGAAAGGCTTCAGCCTTCAGGCACTCAGCAGACAGCAATGAAGCCAATGGGATTTTTGCTTCTGCAACCACAATTCAATCATGTTTAATCAGGTTTATCATTGCAAAATCCAATCTCCCACATTCACCATATTGAGCAATAAATTCAACAATCACATTTGTTTAATCCAATTCCATAATTCCATCCAATTAAACTCAAATCCCACAAAAAAAAAAAAAAAATCAAAGCTGAATTTACCTAATTCGGTAATTCCAGTAGGCAGAAACCCAGAAATCCACCGTGAGTCCGTGTCCGTCCACGAAATTCAAATAGAGCTTCCACAGTTCCACTCCAACCTCCACGTCCAGAAGAAGAAGAAAAAAAAGCACCCACAAATGACAAAATGATGAATGAATGTCAGATTTCAGAGACCAGAGTAACATTAAAAAGAGAAAATAAGTATCAAAAATCAAAATAAACTAAGAAGTAATAACAGATTGTTGACTGAATTTACCAGAAACCGTCGTGGCATCGTCCGTCAATCACAGTGCTTTCAAGACTTGAAGTATTGACTCCTGAATCCTGAACTTGAGTCTCGATTCTTCGAAGAAGTCGAGAAGGAGATGAGATGGCAGAAGAGAAGAGGCGAGCGGTGAGAGCGAGAGCGAGAGCGAGAGCGAGAGGTGAGAGGCGTATTCCAGAGATTCGATTTCAATTGGATAGGTTATGACTTATGAGGGATTGAGGGTTTTTAATGGGCGTTTGGGCTGAGTTATTTTTTGTTTGGGCCACTTAAATTTTTGGCCCAAGTGTGTAATAGGATTTTTTTTTGAGGCCCCTAAAATTTGGAGGCCCAAGGCCACTGCCTTAGTGGTCTTGGGCCAGGGCCGGCCCTGCAACAACCCATTTGACATAATCATATCCATCCATTTAAAAAAAAACATTTTCTACATCACATACTACGATTTTGACAATACATGGTTGTCAACCAATATTGTACACTGAGATTTATTCCATTTTATTTTGAGAATGCATTTTGGAATAGCTGATTGATGGAAAATGTATTGTTAAAAAATAAGATTTTTTTTTTTTGATTTCGAGTGTAATATTATTTTATTGAAGAACGTAAATTGAAAAAAAAAGAGAAAAAAAATATATTTTGTAAATAATGAAAATCAAACAAAGGCTAAAACTTCTAGTTTCATAGGGTAAATACGAAAACATATTAGGAGCGTGTTTAATGCACGTTAAAATGGAAAGTCGCATCTTCTTCTACAACCCTCCTAATCTTTTACTAGGTCCCTCGCCCACCTCAAAAAAAAATTAAA